TTACCACAGAAAAAAGTGATTGCACTTGCTTGAAATACCACACCAAAATGTCCTAGCTATACACAACTTTACTGCCAAAATAATCAGATTCATTTTTTTTATTGACATTGACACTGTATCTTCTTTTAAATATGTTCTTTTCAAAGGAACCAAACTTGTGTTTGTATTTCTTAGTTTTAGGGAGTCCTTAAGAACCTCAGAATTGCTACAGTTATTTTGCACTGCAGGGATATCAAGGCAAGGCCACACATGCAAACCTATTGCTGCACCTCTGCAAGCTGCTTGCTGGAGGATTTTAAATCGAAACAGACATAACTCACTACTGAACTCAAGCAAATTTTCCTGACTCTGTGCTTGATCACATAATCCCTGGTTTGCAGCTGCATCAATAAAGTTCAAAATCTTTATTACAGCAATGTGTTAGCTGTTTATTCTCAGCCACTTAAAACTCTGGGGGAAAAAGAAACCAAATCCAAATACTCTTACTGAAATCCAGCTCCACACAGAGTGGGCCACAACATTTCTTACCTTTTACTAAGTGTCTGTGTTTGTGATGGAGTCACTTCTTTGCGTGGCTTTTTTTGCTTCTCTTTTTTCTCCTTCTTTGGTTCCTTGAGCTGTGTTCTGGACTTTTTGCTTGAAGGTGCAAAGTCTTCATCTGTTGGAAAACAACAAGGTTTCATGAGTTCCTCCCCACAAGGATCATCGAAGTTCAACTCTTGGCCTTGAACAGGACAGCCCCAAGAACCACACCATGTGCCTGAGAATGTTGGGCAAACACTTCTTGAGCTCTGTCAGACTTGGGGCTGTGACCACTGCCCTGGGGAGCTGTTCCAGTGCCCAAACACCCTCTGGGGGAAGAACCTTGTCCTAATATCCAACCTAACCCTCTCCTGACACAGCTTCATGCCATTCCCTCCGGTCCTGTCACTGGTCAGCAGAGAGAAGAGATCAGTGCCTGCCCCTCTGTTGCCCCTCATGAGGAAGTTGTAGACTTTGATAAGGTCTCCCTTCATCTCCTCTCCCACTTATTTTGGGTGGTAACATTACTGTCTGGCATATTTGTTGTGTACAAGAACACACCACTTACCATCATCGTCCAAATCCCCAAACTGAGAATAATCAACGACTTTCTTGTTCCTGTGGCAAGAAAAAACATACACTATTAATCCTTTCTGACTGAGTGTCTTGACTTGATAACACTTGATTTTTGGGAAAGCATGTTTTACAAGAAAAACAAAAAGCAACATATATTCAAATGTACCGAATCACAGAATATGCTGAGTTGGAAGAGACACACAAGGATCATTAAGTCCAATTCCTGGCCTACACAGGACAGGCCCAAGAATCACTACACGTGCCTGAAAGCATTGTCCAAATGCTCCTTGAGCTCTGTCAGGCTTGAGGCTGTGACCACTGCCCTGGGGAGCTGTTCCAGTGCCCAACCACCCTCTGGGGGAAGAACTTTTCCCTAACATCCAGCCTAAGCCTCTCATGACATAGCTTCATGTCATTCCTTCAGGTCCTGTGGCTGGTCACCAGAGAGAAGAGATACACATACAACCAGTGCTGCTCTACAGAATAGGGTTATTAGGAATAGTTTCTAGATATAAAAAAACCATCTTAAAACAAAAGTGTTTTTGCTGTTCCAGTTGTGGGAACATTCCATTTTCCTTAGGGACACACTGTCTCTGAGCTGCTACTGTGCAATGGGAATTGTTTATCTTCAGGGTAACTTTCAGGCACTTAAAATGTGTTTTCTGCAAACTTTTTAGGCTGTTTCCTAGTTCCAAAAATTAACATCATAAAGGTTGTACAGCTGAGCCATAAATGAGCTAACTTTAATGACACATTTGCCATTTAAATAGAATGTGGGATTGCTTTGTATCAGTAATAGCCTTCTACCAACTCTCCTCTTGGAGTGGCAATTTACCTGTCATTAACAGTTGCTGCTAGAAGAAACTGCTAATTAAAATATATAATAACTATATAATCTATAGTAATCTATAAGAAAGGGGGTTATAGAGAGGTGTGGGATGTCTCTTCTGCCATGCCTGCAGAGAGAGGAATAGAGGAAATGGCCTTGAGCTGAGATAGGAGAGATTCAGAGCAGATACTGGAAGTTTTTCCCAGTTAGGGTGTTCAGGCACTGGAAGGTCCCTGGAAGTGTTTAAGAGGCATCTGGATCTGACACTGAGGATACGGTTTAGGGGTTATAGCAGTGACAGGTTAATGGTTGGACTTGATGACCTTCAAGATCTCTTCCAACCCTGATGACTCTATAATTTTATGTTTAATAGGTTTGCTGCAATGGAGACTCTGTGGATTCATCGCCACATCTCACAGCACAGAGCTCGGGAAGGATTAAGCCATATCTATCAAATCATAGAATCAACCGGGTTGGAA